AGAAGTCAGAAGCTCCTAAACGTTGCATGCCAAACACGCCATTAGACTATCTTGTGAGGATTTTTAAATTTTTTTTCCAAATATACCCCTTAATTAATTATAGAAACACATTCATTTAAATGTCATTTTATATACTTCAGCTAACTTTTCAGCTAGTTTTACCAAATGCCTTTTTTATCAGTTAGTTTTTTAGCTATCAGCTAGCTTTTTATTTAACGGCTAACTTTTCAGCTGATAACTTGCTTTCCAGCTAGTACGCCAAACATAGCATGTATGATGTTTGTAAATCTCATGTCCTAACCAAATATGGGATGAAAATAGTTTCCATATTATTGTAAACTTGTTGAGACCATTAGAACCTTGATGATTACTCATTCTTAATGGAAGGCCCTTATTTTGTACCATTGAGCCATTGATAAGCTTTCTCATAGTTTCTTCTCATCCTCTATGATGAGATACTTGTAGGAAAATGATGTAAAATCAATAACCGTAGTTACATGTATTCATGTTCACTCTATTCAACTTACAGGTTATGAATTTGTCATCACATCCCCTTCTTTTAGATCTAACATCTTCTCTCTAAAACACTTCATATTTATCATCACCCCCTCATATTGTGGCTCAGTATCCATATAATTAGGTGACATATCTTCTTAGAGAATACATGATGAATGGTAGTTTTTATGGAGCACATCCAATAAACTCAAAGTTATTCTATCACATACATAAGAAATAACCACCTATAAAGAAAGAATATATATTATGTACAACCAAATTAAGTGCAAATACAGATAATGAAAACATAAGCAACAATATACCTTCTTCAACCACACATAGTTAAGTTACTAGATTTTGATGTTAGCACCATTGTTTGGCATCATCTTGACGGCAACAACTAGTTTTGGAAAATTTACATCCACCACACAACTTTTGTCTAATATAACCACATTTCACATAAATCTTGGAAGTGTTTTCTTCATAGATAGGTTGCGAATAGGTTGGTATTACTAAAATTGTTTCTATTTAGAACCTTTTCAAACCGTTCAACATTCACCAACTTCTACAGTTTCATTTATTGTTTATCAATGGATTAATCAATAGGTGCATTCTGGTCGGCCGAGCATCTAATGATTAGTTGAGGACTAGTATGTGTCTTTACAACATTGTTATTAAGTCAAAAACAATATTATTAACACCCTTACACATATTAAATGTGTATCACTCTCCACCTATATAAATTCTATAAAATACCTGAAAGAGGTTAATAGTGGGGTCAGTCATCTTGGCTTTGCATAAGAGCTTGAAAGTATTTATTCGAAACATTACATTAAGTTTCACTAGGATTAAGTGAATACCATAATGAGTAACAAATCACATAGAAGATCTTAAGTATGAAGATAAAGTCATGTTTCCAAAAATGTGGAATACATACCAACCTTACCCAGGAAGTGCATCCTTCATTGAGTCGACTCAGGCATAATGGCCCCAACCATGGGGTACAAGCCCAAAAATTTCCCTATGATCATATCTAATTTATGAGGAGTCATGGTTGAATGCACTTCACTCATACCCTCACTGGTTACATTCTTGTTGGAAATATTCTTCTACCAATAGAAGCCTTGAATAAGGAAATAATAAAGTATTGTTGGAGGGAAAAAATGTGTAAGGAAATGAGAGAAAACTTCATTTATTTATAACCAGCGCGATGCTCAATTTATTCGCACGCCTACTACCATGATCCAACATTGTATGACAAATCGTGACGAGATTCCTTTTATGATTTGGACTTATGCATGCCAATATTTTTGGTTGAAGATTATCTAAGATTGTATTCATTAAATGGTTTGAAGTTTGAAATTAGATGTGTTAGACAAACACTTAAAGTTTGAAGTTGGAACCACAAATGTATGGTGTTTAAAGGTAGAAAGTCAAACAAAATGTGTTTGAAGAAGAAAAAAAAATAGATCTGAGGTCTAAAGTGTTGAAGCAAGAGGCGAAGGTCAAGGCCATGAAACCGAGTTCGGCGCCACACATTTCAAGTCCATGATTGGCGATCCATGATTGGCGAGTCAATTTGACCGATATTCATCCATTATGATCCAATTCTAATTAACAAAATATATGTTTTTTTTACCCAAATATTGTTTGTAAATACATAAAAAGAGATGTTAAACGTGTTAAACTCTATATAATTTTGAGTAAATTACACGAATGGTCCTTATGGTTTAGGGTAATTTGCATATTTGATCACTAACTTATTTTTTTAACTTAGAAAGTCCATGTTGTTTGTTTTTTTTATGCATTTGGTCTCTGTTTTACCTAAAAAAACTATTTTACTCTTAATTTTTTAACTTATTTAAATAAACACACCCCTAGCTACCTTACATATCTTATTATTTTCTTTATTTAAATAATAGTCTTTTTAGGAAGATAGGGACCAAACGCGTAACAAAAACAAACATAAGGGACCAAACGTGTAAAAAACAAACAGTAGGGACCTTCCGAATTTAAAAATAAGTTATGAACCAAACGCGAAAATTACTCCAAACCGTAGGGATCATTCGCGTAATTTACTCTATAATTTAAACTTTGCCTCCATGATTCTCCTATTATTCTCTCTCCACGTATATTGATTTTACCACGGAAGATATCATTTGGTCTCGTTCCGAAATACAACTAACCGATTTATTTAATGTCATACGACACCAATATCAAATCAAATTATATTGACTAATGAAATAAAACCAAAAACTCATTTATGCAGTAGTTCCACACAACTCTAGTGGAAGTTCCAAACCAAATCCCTAAATTCTAAACATAAAGACAAGCAACTCGAGTGAATGATCTATTCCAAAGCTCTAAGCCTCTAACCACTAAATAATACGAAAAACCAACTCCAATGTCTCTTCGAAAAGTCAAAATATAATATATTTTTTCAGAGGAAGACAAAATTGCTCAAAATATGAAGGGATATTATTCAGTCATCTAAAAACTAAAAAGTTAATTTATTATCTTAACTCATTTGTTTAACTTCAGTTTAATGAATTTGTATTTCACAAATTTATGTATTCTGACTATTTTTAAAGGGTATATGCCACCCCGAAATAAGAAACTGAATTTTAACAATTACAATTAATAGTCAAAACTTCATCCACTATTTTAGCAATTACAAATTTACAATTTAATAGTTCAAACTTCAAGTTCATCCCCATTCCCCAAAAATAAAAATAAAATGAACTAGGCCCTAGACCATTATCCATGAGTAGGGGTGCAAACGAGCCGAGCGAGCCCGAGCCTGGCCAGGCTCGGCTCGGGCTCGTTTAAGTTATATGAGGCTCGAGCTCGAGCTCGGCTCGATTCGAGCTTTCTTGTACTGAGCTCGGATCGAGCTCGTATCGAATTATCGAAGCTCGGTTCGGGCTCGGGCTCGACTCGTTTTTTATCTGACGTGCCTAAATAAGCTTAAGCTCGGCTCGAGCTCGTTAAGAAGCTCGTTTACTAATACCCTAAATCCGTAATTCCTCTAATATATTTTTATTTTAATATATATAAATAATAATGAATTATATTATGTAAAGGCTCGTTTAGGCTCGCGAGCCTAATCAAGCTTAATGACATAGGCTCGAGCTCGAGCTCGTTTAATAAACGAGCTTAATTTTAAGCTCGAGCTCGGCTTGGGCTCGTTTAAAACCGATTTCGAGTCGAGTTTTTAACGATTCGATCCCGAGTAGCTTGGCTCGTTTGCACCCCTATCCATGAGCCAATCAAGCCAACTAGTATTTACCATTTGGAAATTTTCTTCTTGGGCTTTTTCTTTTGTCATAGTTATAACTTCTCACTTCGTAAAATTATTTTCATATGTGATTCATCATTGGGTTGGGTCGATGAAGTTTTATTTGTTGATTATATAAAATTAAATATTATTAATTTTAGATTTGGGTTTAGGACTATAAGTTAAATATAATATATTGTTTATTTACTAATTTAACAAATAAAATAACGAAATTAAGCAAAAAAATCGTATAAACAAAATAATTAAACAAGTCAACAATATGTTTAGTTTGTGACACCCATGTACCTACCTGGATAGATTTTCCCAAAATATGTAAGTTGTCAAATTAGTTTGATAAACTTAAATTCCAAATTCTATGACTATACATTTAAACTTGTCAATATTTAATCGGCGGAAATCGTGGTAAAAATGGTTAAACCATAGCCCTTTATACAACTGTCTAAGTGAACTTTGTCTGAGGTCATCATGCTTCATATTTACAATATTTTTTGAGATATCTTCATATTTTTATTTCTATCAAGATAAGTATCAATTTTAAAAGATGTAATTAAAAGTAAATTAGTGGTAAATTAAATATCTTCATATTTTTATTTATATCAAGACAAGTATCAATTTTAAAAGATGTAATTAAAAGTAAATTAGTGGTGTATTGTTCCTATGTTATTATTATATATAAGTAGAAAGATACGTAAGAACAAAATGTAGAAGAGTATTTAATTTTTTATATTTTTTTTGGGTAAATTAAAAAATTGGTCCCTGATGCAAGTTTCAAATTGTACGTTAAATTCATATTTTTTAAAAATCAACTCAGGCTATCCATTATAAGTTTAAATTCATATTTTTTTAAAATCAATTCAGACTATCCATTATAAGTTAAATGTTGCACGTTTAGTCTCTGATAAACCTTAAATGTCTATATTGCCCTTTCTTATTTCTTCTTTGATTTTATATTTTTATTGGTTTGTTTATTATTTATAATATAAAAATTAAAAGAGGGTTCACTAACACCAACCCTTACTCTACTATCACCACACCCTCTCCATCTTGCTTCTCCTCAACATCCTTCCCCCCTCTCTCTGCAAATCCATTGAAGAAAAGAAGTTTGTAACCATCATCGGAAATCTGGATCATTATGACCGTCTCTCTCTCTCTCTCTCTCTCTCTCTCTCTCTCTCTCTCTCTCTCTCTCTCTCTAGAAATCACGACATTAACAACGGGGTAAAAGACGATGGCGTTCTAGATCTGAGACGATCCAATTGTTAACGAAGTTCATATCTATATCGATATTGGTGCAAAGGTGGGAAGATTTGGGTGGGAGGTAGCTTACGGTGATGGTACAAAGACAGTGATGTGCCGGTGGCGATGACAGTGGTGGTGTTCTGCAAATCATTTTCACCATCACCTCTAGTAGTGGTGGTGTTATTTTGGCAATGTCCCTCGCCTACCTTCTTTCACATCTCTTAGAGATGAACGTAGACGTCGCCTCCAACCTCCTTCACCTCCATTAGAGACGCCACAACCTTCACCTCTATCTGTTAATGTGAACCTAAAATCCCAGATGCAAAAATCTCAAACGAACGAAATCCTAAATAAATTGAAACACGAATCCTACATCTTCTTCTCTGAAATAGAAATCTACCGATTTCAGGTTGCAAAAAATTAATAGCCTTCGGTTTGAGAAATCATTTCAAAAATTGGTTTCTGGGTGGGTGTGGTTATTGTTTATGGCGGATGATACTCAAGAACATAGTTAACATAGGAAGAAAATAGGGAGGGGTTGAAGGTGGATTGATGGGGTGTGATGGTTCACATTTTTTTTTATATATTAAAAATAATAAACAAACTAAAAAGAAATCAAAAAACAAATGGAGAAAGCCAGTACAATCATTTCAGGTCAAATAGGAACGAAACATGCAAGTTTCAAACATATATCAAGGACAACCCGAGTTAATTTTTGAAAAAAGAGACTCATCGTATATTTTAACGCTCAAACGAGGGACGAATCGAATCGTGTAATTTACTCTATTTTTTTTAATGTTTTAAAACCTTGGAATTCCTAAAATAAACAATATTTTTGAATTAGCTAGGTTTTAAACCCTGGAAATTTTAGAATTCTCCACCTCAACCAGTATCTTTCGGGTTGCATTTTTAAGAATTTTTCCATAACAAAAACCAAGAATCATCGTTTAGCCATACAACGTCTCCTAACGACCATTAACTTCTTTTCAAATTTCAACCTATCTATCTCACAATTTAAAGAGCACAAAAATGGATGAACGAATCTAAGACCATGTTTAGTTTACTTGTCTGATTGTTCTTTATCAGGATCCTCTTCCTCTTCTTCCTTGTTCTCTTCCTCATCTTCTTCCTCATCTTCTGCAGGAGGGTCATATGGTGATGGTGGTGGCAATGGAGTTTTCATTGGACTAAACTGTGGAAATATATCAGGTCTTCTTCCTGGTTTTGGCCTTTCCCATTCCTGCCACAATTCACTACATGTTTCATTCATACTATTCAAATCCAAATCACACAATGTTTTATGCATCTCATTTGAATATGCAAAGTTCAAGAAACAATTCCAAGAGCAACTTGAACAAATCTTTATTGTGGTTACATTTAGGGTTTAGGGACCTAGGATGATAAATGTGGTTGCTTTTTATGCTATTATTCAAGGAGATGCAAGAATAACTGTGTTTTTGTTCAAGAACAGAATTGTTGGGTGTCGGATAAGATTAGGGTTTTTGAGATAAAGCTGAAAATGGGGATTTATGGTAAAATTAGTGTTCATCCTCCACATGTTGCTTCAAGAAAACTAGTATTATGCAAAAACTATCTTCTTAGAAATGAGTAAATTCAGCTTCTAACATCATACAAGCTTGTATTGGATACTATCAATTAAACAATCCCAATCTACGGTTATGCCTTTTACTTTCATAAATCAATTGATGAAGAACTACGAAGAAGATGTCGACAAATAATTAGAACCCTAAATTTCTACACATAGACAGATAGAAAGAGGGAAAAGAAACATACCACAGGGAAATCAAGAGGGTTCCGACGAGTCAATTTCTCTTCGTCTGGGGCCATACAAACAACCATCGCCGCCGACGCCGTCCGATGAGCGGAAGCACATCTTGGAAACCTCGAAATTGATGAAGGAGCTATGGATGATGATGAAGATAGTCTTGAAGTTCCTGTAACAAGCGATGAAGATGGCGGAGATACCGAAGTCAAACAAGGTGTGAAGGAACGCACGGAGGTGTAAATCGCCGCCATATCTCAATTCTTCTCGCAAATCAATGCAAATGAAAAGATAATCAGAAGTACGAACCCACACCTACCACAACTACCGCCGCCGCAAACCACCGCCACCAACTAACTGCCTTTCTACGGAGGTTTAAGAGAGATAAATCTCCGTTAGCAACTACTCTATCCACAGGGGTAAAGTTTGAGTTTTTTTCAAGAAGCGATAAGAGTGAATTACATGAATGGTCCTAAACTATTGGTTTATTTACATTTTCGGCCCCGAACAAAAAGTTTCACTTTTTAAGTAATGTAAGGACTGTTTTTGTAAATTAAAGGCGTGGGATTTCAATCTTGAACACTTTTCTGAAGGGTAAAAAGCAAGACGTGGCCAAATAAGCTCCAGAAAATATGAAAAAGAAACAGGGTATTTATTTGTTCATTTCATTAGCAACCTCAAAAAAATTCAAAACTAATTTTAAATTTTCTTGATAATATTTGTGGATAAGATTTCACCTAAATGAGAGTAGACAACGATTTCTTACATGCAAAAAACATATATTCATCTTCCATCATGCATACCCAGTCTCCCTTGCATCCTGCTTCACTCAAACAGGTATTCTCTCTCTACAATCAAGTTTCAATCTGCACATTTTGCTCGATATTTGATTCTTTGATGTAAAAAGCTTTGTTCTTTAAGGGTTTTATTCAATTCCGATACGCATTTTAGGTTTATTTGCTTCATTTCAAAATTAAAAATGAAATCTTGGATTAGGATTGGATGATTAGAGTTCAGTTTCCATGATTCTTGGAAATGAAGAAGAGTGGACCTATTTTAGCAAATTAAGTGTCAATTAGCACATTTTTCTTGATATTTTGTTCTTTGATGATTAAAGCTCTGTTCTTTGAAGGTTTTTTTCATTTTCCAATAAGAATTTTGGGTTTATTTGTTTCATTTCATGTTTAAAAACGAAATCTTGAAGTAGGGTACGATGATTATAGTTCAATTTCCATCATTCTTGGACATGAAGAATAACTGAACCTAGAGTTGAGGAATTGGGTCATTCTGAACAAGCAAAGAGTCTTTATGTTTGTAAAAATCTTTCTAGGGCTATTAGATGAAGTTGACAATGAGGGCATTCTAGTCTTTTACACAAACAAGTAACTTAGAGCATGTCATATCCTGAATGGGGTCTTCTTGAACATTACATTCATAGAATCTTGCATTTTCATGTCATGTTTCACTTACTTTCTTACTGATTCTCTTTAGGATCTCCCAAGAAGAATAAGATCATGAACTTGAGGTGAAAGTTTGTTTCATAAAAATAGAGAATCATTTTCATGTGAAATGGGAGAAAATGGTAAAGAAAGGTTACATTCTGTCATCATCAAGAAGCACCGAAATGGACCAATCACAAGCAAGTCAAAGATTCAAGCATCAACTACCATGGTACATCAAAACTTAAAATCCATCTTCTTATCTTTCTCCTTTATCTAACATGTTATCAAACCAAGATCAAGAAACGTCTAGTAAGAGAAAACGAATGAACTCCATCATATTGTAAACCTAAAAAAAAAAACTATCAAAAAGTTGTGTCTTGTTAAGTTTGATGATATGTATACATTGTAGGAAACACATCTTGATGAAAAGATCCATTCGGGAACAGTTTCAGCAGTTGTAAGTTCAAGAACTCAATCACGTTGCAACATCTGCATGGAAGAAAAAAACAACAGTTGCCAAATAGTTCGATCAAGAACAAAACTAATGAAGATCTTGATCGAAAGAAAAAAGCCACAAGAAGTCCAATCAATCATGAAAGATTTAATCGAAGATGGACACATTCCAACTTTAGTCACATACACAACTCTCCTAGCAGCTTTAACACTCCAAAAACGTTTCAATTCCATTCCATCTCTCCTTTCAAAAGTCGAATCCAATGGCTTAAAACCCGATTCCATCTTCTTCAATGCCATCATCAACGCCTTTTCTGAATCCGGAAACATGAAAGAAGCCATGAAAATGTACAAGAAAATGAAGGATAGTGGATGTAAGCCAACAACAAGTACTTTAAACACTTTAGTTAAAGGACTTGGAATCATTGGGAAACCCGAAGAATGTTTAAAGTTATTGGAAATAATGACAGTTGAAGAGAAAGTGAAGCCGAATGATAGAACGTTTAATATTATCGCTCAAGCTTGGTGTAGTAAGGGGAATATTATAGAAGCTTGGAATGTTGTGGATAAGATGGTTGTTTTTGGTATAAAGCCTGATGTTGTGACGTATAATACGATTGCAAAAGCTTATGCGATGAATGGAGATACGTATAGAGCTGAAGAGATGATTTTTCAGATGCAGTATCATAAAGTGGCGCCAAATAAACGAACGTGTGGGATTATAGTTAATGGGTATTGTAGAGAAGGTAATATGATGGATGCTATGAGATTTGTTTATAGGATGAAGAATCTTGGAGTGCCTCCAAATGATGTTGTCTTCAATTCGCTCATCAAAGGGTTTCTTGATACTTCAGATTCTGATGGAGTTGATGAGGTATGCATGTATGTATATGTGTATGTATGTATGTATACATGTTTACAAGTGCCAACTAAACAATATACGAAGAACTATATAATCACTTATACTTTATTTTTCAAATCAAGAATCTTGAATTTAAGAAATCTATTATGTGATCTGCCCTTTTAATTTTCAGGTTTCAAGAATCTTGAATTTAAGAAAATCTAAAAATGGGTTCTTGAATTTTCATGTCAACAATCTTGAATTTAAGAAACCTATTATGTAATTTTCCGTTTTACTTTTGAGCTTTCAAGAATCTTGAATTTAAGCAATCTAAAAATGGGTTCTTGAGTTTGCAATCTATTATGTAATTTTCCCTTTTAATTTGAGCTTTCTAGAATCTTGAATTTAATAAATCTAAAAAAGGGTTCTTGAATTTTCAAATCAAGAATCTTGAATTTAAGAAATCTAAAAATATGTTAAAGATCATCAAAAACTGATTATGTTCACATGAATCTTGAATTTAACAAATCTAAAAATGTCTTCTTGATCAAGCTCATGAAACTGATTATGTTTTACATGAAATCTCTTAGGCACTAAAGTTAATGGATGAATTCGGGGTGAAACCAGATGTGATTACATTCAGCACAATTATGAATGCATGGAGTTCAGTAGGATTAATGGAAAAATGTCAAGATATCTTTGACGAAATGATGAAAGCTGGAATAGAACCAGACATTCATGCATTCAGTATCTTAGCAAAAGGCTATGTCCGAGCTGGAGAACCCAAGAAAGCCGAATCACTTTTGCAAGTTATGAAAGAATCAAACGTAAGCCCAAATGTTGTCATCTTCACTACTATCATTAGTGGATGGTGTAGTTTAGGAAAGATGGATTATGCTATGAGGGTTTTCAATGAAATGGGCAAAATGGGTATTTCACCTAATTTGAAAACCTTTGAAACTTTGATTTGGGGGTATGGAGAAGCAAGACAACCATGGAAAGCCGAAGAGTTGTTGCAGATCATGGAGGAAAAAGGGATTGCTCCACAGAACAACACTATTGAGCTTGTTGCAGATTCATGGCGTGCTATTGGTGTTAACAACGAAGCTCAAAGGATCATGGATCATGTTGAAGAAGAAGATAATGATGATTATAATGAAAATGACGATGGAATACTTGATTCGGGTGTGAAATCAAGAAGCAGAATTGTGGTCAAAAGGTCAAAGTTTTCACCAGAAAGCTTGAGTAGTGAGACAAGAAAGCCGATTTTGATTGCACATAGTTGTCGATTTGGGGTGAAAGCCATGACAATGTTTCAGAAAGAGGTTAAAGTTAAAGTACAATTTGCATTTTCAGGGCATATGAACAGTTACAAATTGGTGTTTTGAGGTTAGTAAACTATGGATATGAAGTAGAAAGCCTCTTGAAGTGATTATGAAGACTTTGTAATCAAGAATTGTGTAATTTCTGTATAAAGAATGCCTAGATTCATACACATTGTATTCCCATCTCAACACAAGAAGTTATGTACATGTTCTTTGATCTATTGTCTCTTCTAAAGTTGAATCAAAATATTAAATTTGTTTACTTAAGAGATACATAGAGAATCCATATCAGCAGCTTTCACAAAACCTCACATTTACACAAAACATATAAAGTAAATATCTTGAATATCTGCTCTGATGATATGTGCTTAACACGAACACTTTCGAACATAGGCGTCTTGAATACCAATTGCTTTCTTCACACAGACCCCCTCTTGAGATGCAACAAATACCAAACAATAACAAAATGAAGATATGTAAACAAAACCTTATGCTGAAAGAATCAAGAAATAAGGCATCATTGATAAGAATTACAACATGAATAAATTCAGACATATGCTTGTCATTGTGTAAGATTTTCTTAATCACTTGCCAAGAAAAATTGAAATTGAACAAACAGATAAAAAGCATAAAATCAGTAAATTGGGATTCAGTTTATGGGTGGTGATATAACAGAGTGGTCGGCAAGGTGATTATTCATCACCATTACGACGAACGAGACCTTATCACATGTAGTCGTCATTATCCCTTCTCAATCGATTTAAAATTAATAAATAAATAAATAAAACGGAATTTTAGGGTTCATCAGATAGGAGCGAAAGACTAAAAAGATGTTTAATCATATAGTATCATTTGAACTATGCAAAATCATCACTTGAACCTCTCAATTTCCACTAACAGATAAGGAAAATTCAAAACGCCTCAGAAGGAAGGCAGTATTTTGTGTAATCATGATTCATTCTTACGCAAACATCAATACAATCATCATTGGCTGGTGAAAAAAACAAAAAGATACAAAATTCCATGGCCTCATAGAGAAGATTAGATTTAACAACATGGTTAAGTTCAGACATATGCTTGTCTTTAATTTAGAATTTAATCATCGGCCATTTCCAGAAAAACTCAAATCAATGAGAACATTGAATTAAGAAGTAAATATAATCAATTAAAGACATTTGTGCAAGACTTTCATGGAAGAAAGAAATCAATTGGCTCAGTTTATGGGTGGTGATATAACAGTTTGGTCGGCAAGGTGATTATAAATCACCATTACGACGAACGAGACCTTATCACATGGAGTCGTCATAGCCCTTTTAATGAAAAAACTGAAAACCTCGTAAGAGCGATTCGATCAAATTGGATAAGAACAAAACCAGCTCGAAAATTACAAATGGAGAAAACGGATAAGAAGTTTTTGACATAAAAATGGTGTTATGGAAGACTAGAAAAGAGTAGGTACGTTAACAGAAAGGTCTAACCTTCGATAAAGAACCCTAATCGATAAACCCTAGCCGTTAGAAATAGAGAATGGAGATTGGCTATGAAATCTGATTAGTTATGCGTTTCTACTTATAGAAGGATCCTACGGTTTCGTTGCAATTAAAGGACCCGAATCGGGGCCCCGATAGGATTGTTTGGGCTGTCTGGCCCGTTTTATCTAGTCCAACTACTTTATCTTATTGGTTACTATTAGGTTTAAACCCGTACGGTTGATAAATTTAAATAGATTTACAATTTTTATTGTTTAATAAAATAAGATATCAAAGTTTAGGAAAAATTAAGAATAATGATTTTGTAATTAACATAAATAAATCAAAAACAATAAAAATATTACAAATCAATTAATTAAAATGATGGATGAAATGTGATTTACAAATACTAAATAAAATAAAAGATGCTACAAAATAACTATTTATAGATTCCCGAAAACTTTATTATAAATAATATTAAAAGTTTTATTTGTGAGACTATCATTCTTATCTAAAATTAACAATTTTAATCTCTCTCTGCTTTGAACTCTATATAATACAACATACAATATGTCATGTGAAAAAACGAGATCTTTAATAAACAAACCAACATTGGATAATGAACTTATTAATGGTCATTGCAAAACATACAGCCAATGAAAATTGTTTTCATTGGAATTTGAAGGGAATTTTCTTTTCTAATGGAGTTAAAGACATTCTTGGAATAAAATAGTGATTTCCAATATTAGGTTCAGATATAATATGTGCCTCGATAACACGTTTGCCCAATGATATCACGTGGAGTCTTGTCCTATTACATAGACTATTTTTCTGATCAATATTTCTCAGCAACACAACTGGAACACCGGTTTTTAAAACTAACTTATGGTTTGGTAAACCTGATACTTTCAGACCATTTAAAACATCAGTTTATATAAATTTGCCTCAAACTGATAATGGACAAATTGAAATTGATATATACTATTTGAACTTAAATATTCAATCTCATCTCGTGGAAACTTCGATAACAAACGGTCGTTTATTTCCTACACCACTTCATTCTTTGGAGCAAGTATTACTTTTTCTTGAAAATAGTTTGTAGTGTTGTACTTTTCCAAAATCAAAGGTATACAAACTCGATTAATGAACCTATATGATCATGTGGATCATTAATGAGAATATCATCCAGAATATCAATAATCGTTTCGTCGTTGTTCATACCACCAAGTTTGCATTCTCTTATATCCAATAGCCATTTTGCAAAATCTCTAATTTTTTCTATAGCAGAATGATCCCTTCCAATAGTTAGGCTCATGTTTTTTGTTAATTTACGGATTTTGCATTGTTTCCATAAATATTAAGAACTCAAAGAAGCATTAACAATGTTATATCGACTCCCACCATGAATAACATGTAGAATTTGCCTGAAATCTCCTCCAAAAACAATAAATTTCCCTCCAAACAGAATATTTGTGTTGATAGAATTTTCAGACCTTAATATATCTTTCAAACTTCGATCTAAAGTCTCGAATCCATGCTTATGGATCATAGGTGCTTCATCCTAAATTATCAAATCTTCTGAAAGGACAACTCATTTGGTCTTAGAGTAACTCATACTCATTAAGTCTAATAAAATGGACTAAAAACTCATGAAACTTCTAATGGAAAGGTATTAACAAAATAAAATTCAAGATCGAAGCTTTATGCCTTCTAGAGCTTCCCAAGAAGGCACATATCCCAGATCCACAAGCTTACTTCCACAACAAGGCTCCTTAATATATCTTCTTTCTTCCTTCAACACACCAAGAACATGCACTTAAGCTCAAAACACACACTCAAAGGATTAAGGTTTGCGAAAACATCTCAAAGGGAGTGGAGGTTGAAGAGGTGAATGAAAATGAGGTTATAAGGATGGTTATATATGAGCTCAACCCTAAAATTTAGGGTTTCCAATCCTGGCGAGTACGCCTTGCATACGCTAAAGCCTAGGTTACTAGGGCACGCCCTAGTAGGTTAATCGTACACACGTACGCATGGCGTACTCCCAGCCTTTTCAATTTACAATTTGGCCACTAGGGCTTCCAATGGACACACTCTTCTATTTAGGGATAGGAATGCAATATAATTAAATTATAGGGTTGAAATTAGGAGTACATCACCATCAGGATGTTACACAATGCAAGAAACATACGACAAAACTCGGTCTTTATAACGGAAATGTCATAATCTAGTTCTCGATGATAAGTCGATTATTTGAAAAAGAAACAAAATCAACATCCGGGAAAGGCATCTTTGTATATTTTTTGAAACTGGAGTTGTTTCGAAGTAAAATTTATTCTATCTCAAACAAAATTAAGTTCTTAAGCTAATCTTCATTGAGTAATAAGTTTGGAGGACAAATATGAAATTTGTTAGAAATATTATTAACAACATTCATTTATAATTATAGTATTATTTCATGCATGTTTAAAAATAAATAATTTAGTTTTTAAATAAATAATAATAAATGACAATACCTGGAGACTTAAATCTCTACCGTTGGTTGTAAAGAATTCCATCCACCAAATATTCCCATTTATTTTCACAAACAACCTCCGGTTTAGACAAACCGTTGCACATTAACAATGTAGCAAATAAGAATCGTAGATAAAAACTAGATCCATAATGACTTGCTTCTTTAATTGCATCGATGTATTCTTTGTCATCATCCAAGCGCCCAAGAACATAACAAGCATCTCTAAAAGAAGAATATGTTTCACCATTTTGTTGTGCGGATTTATTCAAATGATTTCGGGCCTTTCACTTTATTTAACATAATGCTTAAGAAATAAGATTCTCAAAAAGTAGGTGAAATCGAATGAATTCTACGAATGCACTTTCCTACTTCCCATTGGCTTCCAAATCCTATCACCACGTTTCCAAACAAACTTTGTATGAAATTTAACATACGTAAGTTTTCGTGCATGACGATAAATTGCATTACACTCCATCCAGGTTGTGAACATTGTAGCAGCAACAAAAGGTTTGTCCAAAACATTATCAATATCAACGTCTTTCTCATATACAATTTGTTGTTGACCAGGAAGATGGAAAGGTAGTCTAACCACAGAAGGATACATGTAATGAACATCATATTTAAAAATGTGCCAAGATGCTTCACATGCAGATAACTATCTACAGTCATAATACTCATTTATTTCATTGAGTGCATCATTATTATCATAGTCATTATTGCTTTGTACAACGACAACTCTAACTCTATCAGGTCCATTGTTTATGTATTTAAATAAATCTATCTATCTTATAAAGCTAGCATTTTTCCTTTCACCACATTCATTTGAAACTTCCATGCATTTTTTCTTTCACTACATTCATTTGAAACTCCCATGGCTTTTCAATTTCTTTTCTTCCTAATAATGGTTATAAGTTGGTTAATAAGATTAAATAAATATCAAACATAAAATGTAATCATATACAAATTATATTTTAATGCTAAAAATATCTTTATTTCTACTTATAAAGTTATGTTTTTTAACTTTTAACATATTATACTTAATTTATTAGTTTTAATATATTTTTGGGTGTAAACCATTATCATTTTAAAACTACAATTTTTGAATAATTTGTATAAAATACTTAAATTATAAATTTAAATATAACATTACAGGATCAACTTAAATATAAATTTTAGTTTAACTTAAATAAAACAAATGATATTTTGTGAATAGTTAGAAGTGATAAATTGTAGTGTCTTTCTGATAATGAATACAAGTTGGTTAATAATGTTAAATAAATATCAAATCAAAAGTATAATCAGAAATAAACTAAATTTCAATATTAGAATAACATCTTTATTTCTACTTATAAAGTTACGTCTTTAATTTTTAACAGATTATACTAAATTTATTAGATTAAGATATTGTTGTATGTAAATCATTATCAATTTAAAGCTACAAGTTTTGAACAGTTTGGACAAAATACTTAAATTGTTAATTTAAATATAACATTACAGTGTCAACTTAAATATAAATTTCAGTTCCACTTAAAAAATACAATGAATATTGGTGAATAAAAAAAGTGATAAATTGTAGTGCTAAATGCAAAAAACTGAATTATAATCTCAATTTAACTAAAATATTATCTAAAAATATTTCTATAATCGTTAAAAGTTTCCAAATAAGTAGTTTAATATAACTTACAATAACAATAGTTAAATATAACTCTATATAAATGATTATATTGTTACATTTGAAATCAAAAAACAATCTTTGATGTTTTGAATAATTATAATGATAGAAATTAAAACGTTAAACAAATAAATTTGAAAAAAATAATTAACAATAACAACAACTATAAATAACATTAAACCATATATTATATTTAATTTTATTCATGAGTAACTCGCGGCTAAAAGTCATTCAAACGGTTGAGATTATGCAGTTATAATAAATGTGTATATTATCATATAATTCAAAATAATCAATATATTATATCAATTTAGTATATGAATTATTATATCAAATTTAACAACAACGTTATTGTTATATTAAAAAAATATATTTGTAAAGATTTTAACTATATAGGTTTTTCTGCGCAACGAGCAAACATTCGCCTAGTACTCTATAGAAGATCCCCGATTGCACCATTCACCATTAATATGTGTCTGATATATTTTCAATAGATATTTGTTATAAGGGACAACATTTCTATTATCCAACTTCACACTCGCTCTGGTATCTCGACAGAAATTATCGGATCGATAAATTCAACAGTGGGTAGCTTGTAGTTATAGTGCATGAATAGACATATATATGACTATGTGGAATACCTCTTTTTTGAAATTCAATTGTATAAACAACTGCATAATATTTTGCACAAAATAAAATATTGTTAGACCGTAAGCAAAAATATAAAAAATATAAAATTTTATAAATTGTGAAAAAACATAATTTTGAAATATCTGCTTGAACTATGCCGAAAATGTGATTCTCCCTTAGGTCTTTAGTAAATGCATCATGCTTGATATTGAACAACCTGCATAGTATATCAAGTTAGTCTTTTGGTTGAGGTGGGTC